GCGTGGGGGGTCTGGGGCTCCTCCTTTCCCCTCCCGGGGAGGGGGGAGCTGCGCAGACAGCGGCGCGGCGGTGTGTGACGTCACACTAGTTTGCTTGTTTTCGGTTGGGGAGTTCTATCTACTAGTTCGGCTTTTGGTCGCACGTCACACTAGTTTGCTTGTTTTCGGTTGGGGAGTTCTATCTACTAGTTCGGCTTTTGGTAGTACAGTGTGTCCTCACTTGAACGAACTATATGGGGCGAAGCCGATTCGTTCCAGTGCGGAATTCGTTCCATCCGTCCGGCCCCAACAACCTTCTTATTTTTTTTTTTTGTTAAACATATGCCAGGACACATTAGTTTGTTTCTTTGTTGTGTGGTGCTTCATTATAATATCTTTCATGCTCTTTTGGTGTCAATAATAATCTGAGATGCGAGAATCACCATCCCCCACCCCACTCACACCATCCTCCACACCACCCACACCATCCTCCACACCACCCACACCATCCTCCACACCACCCACACCATCCCCCACACCACCCACACCATCCTCCACACCACCCACACCATCCTCCACACCACCCACACCATCCTCCACACCACCCATACCATCCCCCACACCATCCCCACACCATCCTCCACACCACCCACACCATCCTCCACACCACCCACACCATCCCCCACACCACCCACACCATCCCCCACACCACCCACACCATCCTCCACACCACCCACACCATCCCCCACACCACCCACACCATCCCCCACACCACTCACACCATCCTCCACACCACCCACACCATCCTCCACACCACCCACACCATCCCCCACACCACCCACACCATCCTCCACACCACCCACACCATCCTCCACACCACCCACACCATCCTCCACACCACCCACACCACCCATACCATCCCCCACACCATCCCCACACCATCCTCCACACCACCCACACCATCCTCCACACCACCCACACCATCCCCCACACCACCCACACCATCCCCCACACCACCCACACCATCCCCCACACCACCCACACCACCCACACCATCCCCCACACCACCCACACCATCCCCCACACCACCCACACCATCCCCCACACCACCCACACCATCCCCCACACCACCCACACCATCCCCCACACCACCCACACCATCCCCCACACCACCCACACCATCCTCCATACCACCCACACCATCCCCCACACCACCCACACCATCCTCCATACCACCCACACCATCCCCCACACCACCCACACCATCCCCCACACCACCCCCCCCATACCCCACACCACCCACACCATCCCCCACACCACCCACACCATCCCCCACACCACTAACACCATTCGCCCCCACCACCCACACTCCCCACACCATCACCCACACACCCCACGCCACCACCCACACCATCCCCCACACACCCCACACCACCCACATCATCCCCCACACCACCCACACCATCCCCCACACCCCTACACCATCCCCAACACCACTAACACCATTCGCCCCCACCACCCACACTCCCCACACCACCACCCACACACCCCACACCACCACCCACACACCCCACACCACCACCCACAGCATCCCCCACACACCCCACACCACCCACATCATCCCCCCACACCCAACCACACCACCCACACCAACCCACCCACACCCAAACCACACCACACCACCCACACCATACCACACCACCCACACCATACCACACTATCCACACCGTGTATTGAAGCAGCAGGCTTGGAAGCGTCTCAACTCGCCCGACAAAAAAAAAATGATGGGTTGACAGGTCTCCTCTCACACCTCCAGGACCCCCCCACCCCCACCCCCCAGGTACCCGGCCATACACACCACAATGCCAAGTCAGCTATTGTTTTCTTCAGGAAACAATAAAACGTGTTAATGATTAATAATGTATATTAATACACGAAAATTAACATATTTTGGCATAAATATTTTACAGCTAAGATTGAGATTTATAATAAGAGTATGAATGAGAGGTTTGGCAGCCATGCGTGGTCACCACCCTTCTCTCTCCACTTCCACCTCCCCTGACAACACCTTCCACCACTGACCCCACCTGCCTCTTTCCACCACCTGCCTCCCCTGACCCCACCTGCCTCCCCTGACCCCACCTGCCTCTTTCCACCACCTGCCTCCCCTGACACCGCCTGCCTCCCCTGACCCCACCTGCCTCCCCTGACCCCACCTGCCTCCCCTGACCCCACCTGCCTACCCTGACCCCACCTGCCTACCCTGACCCCACCTGCCTACCCTGACCCCACCTGCCTCCCCTGACCCCACCTGCCTACCCTGACCCCACCTGCCTCCCCTGACTCCACCTGCCTACCCTGACCCCACCTGCCTCCCCTGACCCCGCCTGCCTCCCCTGACCCCGCCTGCCTCCCCTGACCCCGCCTGCCTCCCCTGACCCCGCCTGCCTCCCCTGACCCCGCCTGCCTCCCCTGACCCCGCCTGCCTCCCCTGACACCGCCTGCCTCCCCTGACACCACCTGCCTCTTTCCACCACCTGCCTCCCCTGACCCCACCTGCCTCCCCTGACACCGCCTGCCTCCCCTGACCCCACCTGCCTCCCCTGACACCACCTGCCTCTTTCCACCGCCTGCCTCCTCTGACACCACCTGCCTCCCCTGACCCCACCTGCCTCCCTTGACCCCACCTGCCTCCCCTGACACCACCTGCCTCCCCTGACACCACCTGCCTCCCCTGACCCCGCCTGCCTCCCATGACACCGCCTGCCTCACCTGACCCCACCTGCCTCCCCTGACCCCACCTGCCTCCCCTGACCCCACCTGCCTCCCCTGACCCCACCTGCCTCCCCTGACACCACCTGTCTCCCCTGACCCCACGTGCCTCCCCTGACCCCACGTGCCTCCCCTGACACCACCTGCCTCCCCTGACCCCGCCTGCCTCCCCTGACACCGCCTGCCTCCCCTGACACCACCTGCCTCCCCTGACCCCACCTGCCTCCCCTGACACCGCCTGCCTCCCCTGACACCACCTGCCTCCCCTGACCCCACCTGCCTCCCATGACACCGCCTGCCTCCTCTGACACCGCCTGCCTCCCCTGACACCGCCTGCCTCCCCTGACACCGCCTGCCTCCCCTGACACCGCCTGCCTCCCCTGACACCACCTGCCTCCTCTGACACCGCCTGCCTCCCCTGACACCGCCTGTCTCCCCTGACACCGCCTGCCTCCCCTGACACCGCCTGCCTCCCCTGACACCACCTGCCTCCCCTGACACCACCTGCCTCCCCTGACACTGCCTGGCTCCCCTGACACCACCTGCCTCCCCTGACACCACCTGCCTCCCCTGACACCGCCTGCCTCCCCTGACACCGCCTGCCTCCCCTGACACCACCACAAATGATGCCAGCCACCTCACCAAGGCCTAACGTTCACACGACCTGTGCTTGTTTTATTGGCCTCCTCAAAATTTATTCTAAATAGGTATTAGTACAGTACGTAGGCTGTTAGAGGAGGGAGGGAGGGATCCAGGAAACAACCCCCCCCCCCTCCAACCCCCACCCCCCCAATGGCTCAGGGAGCGACCGGCCGGCCACACAATGCCAGCTGTTATCTACACCCCAATTGTATTAAAAATTCAGTGAAAAGGAAATGTGTTCAAACTGTTTAAAATATGTACTGTATATATTACAATTTTCACCATTATTATTGCTCCAATATGACATTTTTCTAATAAAAAGGCTATTTTCAGTGCAGATAATGCGATAATTATCATTAAATTGACTCTTGGCATCTGACGACGAGAGGAGAGTGAGTGGTCTCTGTGGTCAGGTGGAGGAAGGAGGGTGGGGGCGAGGGAGCACGTGTAGCCTCCTAACAACTCTCTCACCAATGCCCCCCTGACACCATTTTATCACCATTTCTCCCTAGAAACAATGGGTAGGGATAATAACACACTACATAACTGTTTACACTCTGGCGAATCATAGTTGATGACAGCCAGCTCTGACGCTCGGCCTCGGTGACCGCTTGGACGAACATTCCTCACTTAATCGAACATTTGTATGTTCCACTGAACATTTGGTACCGAATTCAATTTGTTCGGCTCTTCCGGGAATTCGATAGAGCGGGGTTCGTTAGTCTGAGGAAGCACTGTAATTTTAACCAGAATAGTGGTTTGTTTTGAGACGCTTACCTTTCTGGGTGCCTGTTCCGGTCGATGGCAGACATAGAATGCTTCCAACCAAACGGGGGCTTCTATAGGCCATTGCTTCCCTTGCCTCTCTGAGGGGGCCCGGTTCTGGCCGTGGTCCCCGGTAGGCCTAAGAACTCCATACACATGACTGATGCCAAAGTCTGACATTAGCATATCAGCCTGGGATAGCTCCCAGGAGCCTCCGGGACTCAACCAGAAAATGGCATTTCATTACATTCAACGCTGGTTTTTTACATCCAGCCTTGGAAACTGGAGTGTGAATAACCGGCATGAGGGTCTGGGGGCTCCCCTTTTTCCCTCCTGAAGAGGGGGGAGTTGCACAGACAGCAGAGCAGTGACATGATGACGTCAGGCCTGTTTTCATTTCGGGAGTTTATTCCACTAGTACGGCTCTCGGTAGCAATTTTCTTAACTAGAATAGGGGTTTGTTTTGGGAAACTTACCTCTCTGGGTGCCTGACCTAGTCGATGGCAGAAATAGAATGCTTCCAACCACACGGGGTTTCTATACGCCATTGCTCCTCGTGCCTCTTCTGAGGGGTGGCCAGGTTCTGGCTCGTGGTCCCAGGTAGGCCTAGAACTTCATTCACATTGATGCTAAAGTCTCATGTATCCATATCAGCCTGGATAGCTCTGGGGAGCCTTTGGGGCACACCCAGAAAATTGCATTTCATTACATTCAACACTTGTTTTTTCTTTGAATTTATCACTATTTTCTTTTAATATACTTTTTACTTTTAATATACTTTTTACTTTTAATATACTTTTTACTTTGAATATTTAAATTTTATGCTTTCATTTATATTATAGGTATCCAGCTTTAGTTAAACAGTTGAAGGAGCTGACTCAGAAGATCCATGCACCCCCTTGTTGGGAAAACAGCGATCTGATAGTGACAGCTGGAAGCCAAGATGGCCTCTGTAAAGCATTAGAGATGATGGTCAACACTGGGGACTATGTAGTCACACAAGAACCTTGTTACACTGGTACTTTAGCCATAGTAAGTACTGTATCAGTGTCTATGTCTTTTATTGAGATGTGGATACTGTTTCAGGGTTACTTACTCACCCACCCAGGCCTGGTTTTTTAATTTAAAAATCCTGGGCAGTATTACAAAATATTTGCTTTAATATGGGTAAATTTTGTTACATCTATTTATATTTAAACTTGCTTTTCTGAGGGGAGCCTCTTCGGCTCCCTGGCTCCCTGGAGCTATTGGGCTAATATGCAATTCATTAGACGAAGGCATTAGTCATAGGAGTACAGCCTACTGGAGACCAATAGCGAGAACATGGCCCCTTCAGAGAGGCACAGGGAGCAATGGCCCTGGAAAACTCCCCTGTGGTTGGGGGTTTTCCTTATCTACCATCGACCGGGGTTAGGCATCCAAAAAGGTAGGCATAACAAAACAGACCTAACATGGTAAGAAAATTGTAACCGAAAACCGAACAGAGAGGCAGAACTCCCTCAAATGTCATTTAAAGAAGCAAACAAGCAAACTGTGTGTCGCTTGTCTGCGCAGACCCCCCATGCTGACGACCCAGCCATTCCAGTTCGTCAGCTAATGCAATCCTGGGCGGTCGTTATCTATGGCCTCGATTTCCTACGCAGTGTTTTGCCTTAGTGTTGTCCTCTGCTGTTTGTGGTGTGGTGGCCAGCTGTACCTGAACTGTACTGGGGTTGCATGCACTTAGGGCAGCCTTCCCTAAGTGCCCTGTGAGTACTACCCTTACCTGTCAGGGTTATCTTTCCTGGTGCATTCGGGATGCCATTTCTGTAGAGGTTCTTGCTGCTCAGCATCTACCCAGCCCTTGGGGCCAACTGAGGTTTCATGGCCCTTGTTTGGCCTTGGGTAGAGAGTGATATTGATGCTGGTTGGAGCATCAAGGTGTTGCACAGCCAGCTTACCTACGTAGCGGCTGGTTCTTGTTTCCTCTGGGGATGTTGTATTTTTGTGGGTTTTTTCTTTTATTTTTGTTTGCTTTGTCTGGTGGGGGTCTGCCTGGTGTGGCTATTGGACCACTTATAATATTTTGGTAGCTTTCCGCAAGGCCCATGTGATTGTACACGTCACAGGGGTTTCAGTGTTTTTACTCCCTTGAGTTAGGTTTCGTTTGGGATTATTGGACAGCTTCCATGTCTCTCCGTCCGGAGGCATTGCTGCAGCTGCGGTTCCGCCTTTTGCTGTTTCTGGAGGGAATAGTCCCGGGTCACTTGGTGGTTGCTCGAGCAGTTGTGTGGGAATCTGAATTTCGCTGTGCTGGTTTCCTGCTGGGTTGGGTTTGGCATTGGTATCTGTTCTGGTTCCTTCGGGAATGCCCCTTCCGCCTCTCTCTCTCGCGATCATTGGGTTCGGCCTTCGAGGGCCTTGCGTCAGTTGTTGCGTCACTGGCTTCCTCTTTGGGTTTTTGGGGGTTGAGTGCCTTGGCACCTACCCAAGTCTTGCTCGATGTGTTCACGGACGCATTGTCTCTCGGCTGGGACTTTGTGACCAGTGCTCACAAGGCCGTCCAGGGGCGGTGGGGTCCGTCATTCCGTTGGGCTCCCAACATGGTGTAGGGGTTTGCGGCTGTCTGGCTGTTACTTCGGAGGGTTCGGGTCGCTCAGGGTTCAACTTCGGCTTTTGGACTGTTATCCATTGGTTCATTGCCTGAATCATGGGGGGAGGGGGTTCCCTTCGGTCCTTGCCTCTTTGGGGCTGGGTACTTCGAGTGGCTCGTCTGCTGGTTTCTCGGGGTTTGGCTCTCCGTGCGGTTCATATCCGGGGAGTGTCCAAATATCCTAGCGACAGCCTGTCTCTGTTCATTTCTTTATCCACGGAATGGACGGTCAACGCCAACTCCTTCAGTTGGTTCTGATGGACATTCGGGCTCCTGGGGGTGGACCTCTTTGCGTTGGCTTGGTCGAGGCGTCTTCTGATATATGTGGCACACTTATATCACGAGTATATAGTAAACGAGACGGTCTTATAACAATAATGAGAGAGATTATAGCGAGAGCGGATAACAATAGTTCACGAGTGTTGATAGTCGGCGACTTCAACTTGAAATCCATAGACTAGGAAGCATATGAAGCTAAAACAGAAGAATTTTGGTCCTGTAGATTTGTAGACCTCATCCTGGAAACATTCTTGTATCAACATGTAAACAAGCTATGAGGATGAGGGAAGGGGACGTTCCCTCCATGCTAGATTTGATATTTACCAGGAAGGAGGAAGAGATATTTGACATTTGGTACCTTCCTCCCTTGGGTAAAAGTGACCATGTCTTTTTGGGAATAAAGTATGCAATACGTTATAATCTGGAAGAAAATAAGGAGATTGAAGCAGTTGAAAAACCTGACTTCTGGAGAGGACATTATGGTGACCTTAGACATTTTTTTAGTGAGTATAAATGGACAGACTTGTTGCTAGGCAAGGAAGTGATTGAGATGTATGTCAAGTTTTGTGAAATATATGATAAAGGCACAAAAAAATTTATACCAAAACGGAGATGCAGAAACAAAACAGGATTGGTTCAATAGAAATTGTGAGAGGGAAAGAGACCAAAAGACACAAAAATGGAATCAATAAAGGAAGAGGCCAAACACCCAAACATACCAGCGATACAAAGATGCAAGAAACAACTACACGGCAGTGAGGAGAGAGGCAGAAAGAAATTTTTAAAAAGGGATTGCAGACAAATGTAAAACAGAACCAGGTCTATTCTATAAATTCATAAACAATATATTGCAGGTAAAGGATAATATTCAGAGGTTGAAAATGGGAAATAGATTCATGGAAAATGAAAAGGAAATATGTGAAACACTAAACGAAAAGTTCCAAAGTGTGTTTGTACAAAATGAAATAAGATAAGAGATAGGGAGATAAGCTTTAGGCTGCACAATGAAACTGCCATAGGCAATTTTATAGCTGCTGCTGCTAATGTTAACTGGGAGTCCGAATTAGGTAACATAGGGGACATCAACCTAGCAGTGCAATCTTTTCTTCAAAAAACTCTCAGCCTTTATTACACCCACTGTCCTATGCTAACGAAACAAGTCACAACTAAAAGGCTGAACAATCCTTGGCTTACAAAGGGAATACTTAAATCCATTAATAAAAATCATGACCTTGAGAAGAAGTATAAGTTAGGAATCGTCTCCAAAGAATTTTCAAAGAATTACTCATCATTGCTATCTAAAATAATTAGATGAGCCAAAACTAAATACTACGAAGATAAATTTACCCAAACAAAGGGCAACATTAAGAAAACATGGAGCACAATTTCACAAATATTGGGATCAAAGAAGACTTTAAATAACAAACCAATACTCCTGTTAAATAATGATGGTCAGCTTACAGCCTCTGATACTGCTATTGAGTTCAATAGGTTCTTCTCTTCCATTGGGTCATCCCTTGCAAATGATATTCCATATTCCAGTACTGATGTTCAGGACTATCTTACAGGTATTTCACTATTCATGTAAAAATTACATGGATAGTGAAATCTGAATTCCAAATTATAGTTTATATAGATGTGATAGAGAAACTAGGTCAAATGGAGGAGTAGGTCTGTATATTAAAGAGGACCTGGTATGTACAGAGCTACTAAACTCAACTAATGAGGTGGTAGAGGTACTTGGAATTAAGGTAGAAAAAATAAACCTAATTATTATTCTAATATATAAACTGCCAGATACAACGGTTGAGGAATTCACAGAGCAGATGCTCAAAATAGAGAACATCCTTGATAATCTAGCAAACCCAGCTCCAGATATTAACTTCCTTGGAGATTTCAATTTACCAAGTCTAAGATGTTGAATGGCAAACACAAATATCATAGCAGGGAATGACCCGGGAAATAACCAACCACAGGTCAGAGAACTTTTGAGATTCTGTGACAAATTCTCGCTCAATCAACAGATTACAGAACCAACTAGGAACAAAAGCACACTAGGCTTGTTATTCGCAATGATGAATTAATCAGAGACATTACAATCTACTCCCAGACCATAAGCTCATTGAAGTGCGAATTAGCATAAATAAAGGTACAGTATCCACTCGATTTAACGGCCTATATGGGGCTGTACCCTGGTCGTTATTTCCGGAGCTCCAGTATATTAACGTTCAGGTAAGATATATTATATACAGACAGCCACTGGGTACACCACTCTAGTGCCTTCTACCCTGTGACGTCACAGATTTACGGCACATTGTTTTGATTTGTCATGAGGCTGGAGTGTTCATTCCGGGACTTTGTTGGACATATCTGCACAATCAAGGAACATCTGTGCACCATGTTGGCTCCAAATGCACTCATTGTGTCAGTGATGGCTGACTGGTGGGTGGATGGGCAGGCAGGCAGGGATGGAGAGGCTGAAATGTAGGCAGGCAGGCAGGGAGAGGCTGGGAGGTAGGCAGGGAGGGAGAGGCAAGGAGGAAGGCAGGCAGATGCTAGGTGGTAGGCAGGGAGGGAGAGGCAAGGAGGGAGGCAGGCAGGCAGAGCTTGGGAGGGAGGCAGGCAGGCAGAGCTTGGGAGGGAGGGAGGGAGGCAAGCATGCAAGCATGCAAGAGGCAGGCAGGCAGAGCTTGGGAGGGAGGGAGGGAGGCAAGCATGCAAGCACGCAAGAGGCAGGCAGGCAGGCAGAGGCAGGGAGGGAGGGAGGCAGGCAGGCAGGCAGAGGCTGGGTGGTAGGCATGGAGGGAGGGAGGGAGGCAGGCAGGCAGAGGCTGGGTGGTAGGCAGGGAGGGAGGGAGGCAGGCAGAGGCTGGGTGGTAGGCAGGGAGGGAGGGAGGGAGGCAGGCAGGCAGGCAGAGGCTGGGTGGTAGGTAGGGAGATGAGTGGATGGAGATGGATGGAGGGATGGATTGATGGAGGTAGGAAGAGAGGGATGGCACTATGGTTGTTGAGGTGAAGCAGAGAGCGTGTGTATGGGAAGTTTGGGGGGGCGGGGGGTGCCGGTGGTGGGGGAAGGAACCGTCTCGCAACCAGATGTTTAGATGGAGGGAGGGAGGGAAGG